TTTATAATGGTTTGGGATATACGTGTCTGTTATATTGTTGTGATGTGATCCTCCAATCCCTTTTTTGTATAACAGGATGATATAGAGAATATCAATGGACATCAAGGCAGTCTCATTGGACTTCACATCAATATATATATATATATATTACATTATTCCCATCAAATAGAAGACACACCCATTATTTTTGGATAATTGAGACCCAAAAATTCAACATTTCTCATACGTTAGATATACTCATATGTAGATGCTCTAATAGAAGCCGCATCCCCTCTATTGCATTGTACCATATTAATAGAAGCCGCATCCCCTCTATTGCATTGTACCATATTAATAGAAGCCGCAGCTTCTAATACAGATTTTACAGTAATAATCTTTTTTTTTATGCTTGTCTGAACAAATGTTATCAATGTATGGTATAGGTCAAATGTTATCAACGTATGATGCTTTGACTGGTTGCCAAGAGCCTGATGATAAAATAGCGACGTTGTTCGCTGCGGTGAATAAATATATATGTATGTATAATACCTTATATGCAATGCTGTTACAACTGTGCTGATTAGTGAGCGATATCAGACATTTGCATACTGGTTGGTAAAAATGTAAACAAATCACGTCACAATGGAATGACCTATACTTGTGTATTAATTGATTTTGTTTTGACATTTCACATTTTGTGATAAATAAAACTGAGATGTATAATTGCAATGATCTATGAAAGTTGTATTGGCAACAACATTTTTTTAAAAAACCTACAACTTTTTTACTCGTGTTACCACTATGTCTTAGTAAACAGTTCATACTCCCTAAGTTTGTCATCTTTAGCAGGCACAGTGCATGACAAAAATTATTGTAATGAAGATCTGATAATGATATTATTCTCTTTTAGATCTAATTGAAACAATTAGATTTATTAAACTTTAATATTATCAGAGAGTAACCGCCCTTGAGGGATGGTTCTATCAATAATCTCTTAGATCTAATGGAAATCATTAAATTTTATCAAATATTATCTGACTAACTGCCATAAAGATGGTTCTAACAATAATCTCTTTCAAATTTAATAGAAACCATTAAATTTGTTATCGAATTTCATCTGATATTATTGCTCAATAGCTACCCCAGGTGACTTGGAAGATGGCTTTACAGCAAATTCGTGTTTCATAAATGCCAATCGTACAGACGTTGTTACGGCAAAGTCTGGTTCGAAAAATACCAAAGCAAGTAAAAAAAATAATAGTTTAAACGTGCAAAAATTCCAAACGAACTCTGGTTTCAAACGTGCAGGCCAGGTTTCAAAAATGCTAATTGTGCAGCCTGAGAGGCGATATTATGAAAAAGTTAGGTTTCAAAAATGCCGAACGTACAAGTCAGAAATGTAGCAGCTTGAAACGTGCCAAAAATGCCGAACGTACAAGCGTTATTACGACAAACTGGCGTTTTAAAAAAAAAACGTTATTACGGCAATGTGTGGCTACGAGTAAAAAACTATTCCAAACGTGTAATTTCTGAATAAATATAGAAATATTGACGCATCAATTTACACAAGAATACAACATTTTATTTTTTAAGATTCTTATTCTTTCAGAATTGGGGCGATATAGTTACGTCTGCTGGATGTCATGGTAATTATAGCTGTATTATCTTGTTTGTATTGTCGTGCTCTTATATTTTCGAATGGCGAGCCGTATATATTAGTGAATTGCCGTAGTCGGGTTTTTCAGGAATGTATAAAACAAGTTTTTCACACAGGTGTGGCAGAATGATAACGCTGCATTTGTCTGTTTTACGAAGATGAGTTTAAAGCGACAAATTATTGATATATCTTTTCTAAAGTTAAGATACTCGTAAAAGATCACTCCAATGTCCAATGTTGTGCGTTGATTCATTTTTTTACACTTACATAATGGTGATTGTTGACGGCTGAATTACAGGGGCTATAGCCCGACAAGGTCGCGTGAGTTGCGCCGTCCGCGGTGCTCCAAGCGTCCGGTGCCGTTCGGCCGACGAGGGCGCCAATCATGTCTACATGTCAGGCTACAGGGGCTAGTATTCGTTGGTTGCCGAAGACTCGCAGGAAATATTGATTAGAAATGATAAAAAAAACGCCCAAAATTTCACTACCAGTTCCCTGTAGGTTGGCGTACAGTAAATTATTCTACAATGTTTGGACATTTTTTTATTCATTTCTCCATGTGCTGCAACTAACCACTTACTTGGATGTCAAGCACACGTGGCTGAAATTAGATCATATTCAGAGCAGCACCTCCGTTTTACCATCATTATACGTCAGTTTATTTGTAGTAATTTGATTTAACCAACGGCTGATTCTATGATATATCGACTTGGAGATTGTGTGAATGATATATATAGTTCAACGTCACTCGCAGCGACATCTACTAGTAGTTCAGTGAAATCAGTTCTCTACAACGCACAAATGAAGCACCATGGCGGTGAGAATCGAGAGTTTGGTTTCGTCCAGGTTTTGGTGGAAATTGTCATAATGTGATCAAGACAGACAATACTGCCCTCAATGGCCAGAATATTAAACAGAGTTTGTGTTGCCGAATAGGATGTCCGTTGGAGATATTTGTGTCACTAATCGAAGGAAAATAATTAATACTACCGCGACCACAAACCCATTCTATTTAATTTTATAAATATTCTTAAGTTTCACTATTCAGAGAGGTATCAAATGACGTCATTACCGCCTCGTACTACGTTCGTTTACTAGTTGGCTGGCCAACTGCCATTACAAATTATATGTTATATGTATTACCGATGTATTCATAACAAAAATAGGAATGTGCGTTTGGTGGCGATAGTAGTGTTTGGGATTTTTTGTTAAAAGTTGAAAAATAGTAGTCGTGGGATGATGGTAGAAATAACTGTGAAACTTAGTATTTCCCACTTAGATTTGAGCTTGACGATGTACATTTTATGTCATTGCATTGCTCCGTGTGTGTGATTGTGTTTATTATGTATGTTTTTCTTTTTAAAAATGTTTTGTGTCCATATTTGCCATCGCTAAATTTCTTCTATGTAGGTAAATTATTGTTTTATTTACATGTATTTCATCATGTTATTTATAGGATAAAAATGGAAAGACGTGTTGCTACCAACAAATAAACTTAGTTATGAATACACTGATATCACCACACAAATTTGTCTAATATGACAGTGATGTATGTGTAGGGGAATATATAATAATACCAGCAGCAGTAGTATATGTAATAATTCAGTTGTGCACGGTTTCTCGGTTTTATCTTGTCTGGGACATTAATCAGCGCTAAGTGTTATATAAATAATTAAAAAAAAATATTAAAGCACTCGTCCGAAATTTTATGTGTTCTGAGTGTTTACCAAAATACTGTGAAAATAAAAATGTGTATTGTTGAGCAAAATATCTCATAATTTTGTGACAACTCTTTATTGTTTTTGATTGAATAAATATACACTCGCGAAGTTTATAAAAGTATCAGAGAGTGCTTTCAAAAGACGGCTGGACTTAGCAGTTTATTCGCCTGTGTATTTATTGCATAGACTACATAGCACTACACTCATAAAAACCATCAAAAAAACACTAGGGGGCGATATTTACATCCGGGCACTATGACCTTACCGGCGTATGACGTCATTTATCATTCCACCCATGTGTATGCAGACCTAGTTCAACATGCTGATCAAAGAATTGTGAGTTCGATTTTATGGCCTATTTTACACCCTAACAGCAATTTTGACCCGTATTGGTATAGCCAGAGTACTTGGCTACAGTATTATCTTCAATAATTCACCGTACGTTTATTTTTTCGAGCTAAACATCGTCATTTTTTTCGAACGATCTGTGTGCCCGACCTAACTTTGTGTTCTGTTATTTCGTTTCCTTTGCCGTCGCTTCCTGTTCGTCTACGAAGTCGGGTTATTTTACCAATTACGGTCGAAGAGGTGAGTTTGCCATTCCTATTTTTTTTAGTATAATTAGCCCGTTTATTTAATGTCACTTTCTGGTTCTAATGACTGAAACAGCTCTCGAACCACAGAGAAAATGACTAACGTCTGACGCCGGGCCAGTCATCGCTATGTTCTCAGTGATGAAATGTACTGTCATTATCAATGGGCAGGGATTCTACATGTCTTGTTTTACTGATATCGTTGACCCTGCCACGTAGTTACAAGTACATGTATAGTACTTTAACAATTCAAATTTAGCGTTATATAATCAAAAACGCAATATATATAAATTGAAAATTCTGCCTGACAACTGAACGATGCATACCTACTCGCCCTAGTTTGCCGTTACATACTTACAGGGGGAGGTGCCTCTCCCACAAACGTAAAAGACAGTCAATCACTATATACAATGCTTTACAGTACAGTTGCATCAATTTACGTTAATTCCCATGAATACTTCTGTTGCCATGGTATCTGGTGCATTACTGCATAGATACTATGTTATGTATACTATTAAAATAAATTGATGCAAGTGCTTTAATTGATGCAATCATCATATTGCTTTAGGGGAAGTATTCATACGTACCGCAGTAATTGTGGGAGGATTGGATGTTGCAGGGATGTTCAGAGGAAACAATAAATTCTATTGTTTGATTTGAATATTCAGCTGATTTTAATTTAGCAAATTCAACTATTACCAAATAAGCGAAAATCTCCTGTTCTCTGTTGGTATTCATGGTATAACCAACGTTTTAAACCTGTTTTACATTGAATAATAGCTTTATTTTTTTTTGGAATTTATTTTCTAGTGATGTTTAATTGGTTTTTCGGTTGGATTTCCATGAAAATCAATGAAAATGAATAATGTGAATTGTTTAATTTTCATAGCACCTGGATTCTATAGTGAAGACAATTTCGTACAAATTTAAGCAGTTTACAGTGTTAAGCCAAATTGTGGTTGTCAATAAAAGTAAAGTGAAAATTAAGCAATCCACTGTATTTTTTTTTAGAATTTTTTTCATTCTTAGTATCTTCATTGTTAATGCTAAAACTGTAGCTGTTTGTAGCAGTGGTGAAATGCTCGGCAAAACGTGTGGGTGTAAAATTCAATAAAAACACTGGCTGCAATACTGGTTTAATGCAGTACTGCTGTCTGCACATTTCTTCAATACTACTAGTACTCTTTGGTGTCTTTGACCATTCAATGATTTTAAATAACTGTAAACAGATAAATTTACTTTTCTATAATATTTACATTTTCAATATTCATCGCGTATGTGTTGCGTGAAATTAAAGGGGCCATATAAAGCAGTGTTAGAGCTCTTGAGCTGTCTTTGCTGTAAGTTGAATATAAATCTCTAATTTTTGATAACCATCGTAGGTTATCTGCAGTAGAAGATATATTATTTACACAGTGACACAACCATTGTACATTTGTAATCTTTATTCAGGCAGGCGTTGGCCACTTAATAAAGTTAATATATTAACCATTTATTTATTTTTAAATGTGACTGAATAGTTGTAAGGATTCATACTAAATGTTATAAATTGAATTAGGTCGAGCAATTTAATAATTGCCAAGTTGTGGTCTTATCATTGAAAGCCATGTTCTGATTACCGGTAATAACGATGTTAAATATTTGCTGAACTTTATTAAGCATCCAGCCCTGATAGGATATTCATGCTCTAATCATATGCAGGTACACTGCTAAATTTAACCAGGTTGATATTCATAATCATATCAGAGAACTGTATGGTTTTCTCAAAAATGTTCATCTGCAAACAGCAGGTGGCCAAATTATCTGGTTTACAATACAGATTTTAGGAAAGAAGGTAGTTAAATGTGTTATTTACGATATACAGTCTACTAAATTAGTCTCCTCTTGCCTTCTAGAGAAAATGCTGAGAATGACCAAATTGCTCAGTTAGAATGAAAAAATGTGTGGTTCTTGAAAAATTATATGGCCTTCTGTTTACTGATTACAAATTTGGTTTTAATTACTACCAAGCTATGAGATCAAATTACCAGGAGTTTCCCAAAATTTTAAGTCATTAGTCTGGTAAACAGTTTCTGATTAGCCTTGATTTAGTCTCTGTCCAACCATGACATGCAAGGTGCATCTTTTTTAATGATATGCAAGTACTGGAGTACAGTGACCTTGTTTTTCTATCTGTTTAATAATTTAACCATTGAGGGCAGTATTGCCCGTCTTGGTCACCATATGAAGAAGTGCACATTGATGTAGAAATTACATATACACACATAGCCATGTGGTGTGTTATTGGTGCTATGGCGGTTGATTTGCTTTCTGGTATTGTGTGATTGCTGGTTGAGGCTTGGATCATAGACCAACATTATAATACATGTATTGCAAAAAGCTCTCCTTGTAAACTATAATCATCGTGTCATGTTGGGAAAATTATTAAGAGCGGTCACTCTGAGTTAAAGCGGGAGGATCGTCACCTACTTACGCGCGGGAATTATAACAACACATGCTAAAATGCAAAGGCTCATGGGAAGACGCTTGTTTGTAAACAATGACACGCTATGGCCATCTGACGCATGCGCAGGTGACGACTCCCTCGCTTTAAGACCAACAAATTGTGATGGTGAACTCGGTGGTACTTTACCTGCAACTAATGTTCAAATATGATAACGATTGCAGGAACGAGATTTTCTGCTGATTATGAAGGTTCAAGCCAAATTGAAGATTATATATTATGTCACATGGTAACAGTTTCCAGGGTGATACCAGTTTTCTGTTATATACAATAGAAGGTTATCTCCCATAATGCATTTGAAATATGTGCAGTAACATGCTCAGAAGTGCAAAATTTTAATTCGGCTCAGCTGCCTTAAAGAAATTCCAGTGAATGCAGTTTTCTGCTGTTAGGATTTGAATATCTGACATTTTACTGAACAAGTCTCATTTTTATAGGTCATATTAGCAGAGTGTTTCCGCTTCCCATCTGGTTATTTGTCACCTAATCTTGGTATTTCTACTAGTGCAGATTGTATCTTTCTTTGACATTGAAATCATAATTCCCTATAGGTTTGGTGAACTTTGCTAGTGCTTACTAGTATGTTTCAGACTCTATCTTAAGGTCACAATTTGGCAATTCATTTAGTTATTTCTATAAAATTTTTGTTGTTAGGGGTATGTCAAATAAAAATTGGAATGAATCAACTATCGTTCAAATTTTCATTGTTGATTAATTTGATACGTTTCATTTATCTGTTCTTTGATCAATTTGACTATAGGGGATGTAATTGATAGAAGTATTGGAATTGTTTGCGTGGATATCTCCTACCTATTTGACTTAGTGCCCTTAAATGCTCAGATTCATTATATTAATTATTTTCTACGACTCTGATGTTCATGTCTGTTTTCTGTAAGCGTATTGATACCGCCCTATCACATGAATTAGGTCACCCAGCTGTCACCTGTAATTTCGTTATTGTCTCAATGTTTCACATTCAATTATATTTAGGCTTAGCTAACATAAATTAAATACAAAATTAGGAAGACATCATAGACCAAAATTCCCTGTTAGAATAGTGAGCATGTAAGCACTGCCACGAATTTGGAGTGGAGTGCACTTTGAGGTATCCTCATAACCTTATTATTATACATTTTTTCCTTCCAATGATACATCATGGGAATGCCGAAATCCAAAAAGTTTAGAATAGAATAAGTGAACTTCTTTGTGTGGAATCCGGTCAAACCCTGGTGGCAGCCATGTTTGTTTTTATTATTAGAGGTAAAATACCGCAAAATTACAGCACGCTGTAACTTATGGCAATACTGTTACAGATGTATAATAATAATATAACTCGCATTTCCCAAAGGTCATGCAAAAATAAACCAAATACAGCACAGAAAATGATTGGTACAGATATCCAGCTGATTAAACATTATCCAATTTATAAAAAAACAGTTATGATATCAGATGCACCTAAACAGAAGACACATACATACAGAGCTTGAATTAGGGTATTATATGGGCAGCCAATTTCAAGGTCCAAATTTCTGAAAATTTCTTTAGAATATTATTTTTGAAGGAAATGTTGAAGACCATTAAATTAAGGTAATACATGTATGGTGGAGCATGCTAGCAATTGTATCCATGGGCTTCTGCAAATATAGAGCCATGTACATACAAACATACAATAAACCCATTATTTTGTATTTCAACAATGCATGAAGCTTTATTATATATTTAGACCAAAATGTCTAATTTTCCTGAACTTAAAGGTGTAAAGCATTCTTCTATTTTATCAACATTGAGATTGCCCAGTTGAGGCAGGTGTCATGTTCTGTAGGGATCCCATGCATATAAATACTTAGTTTACAACGTAACTGGTTCTTAAAGGCCATGCAGCATATGTTGTATACATTGCATGAGACTTGTATCAAACATACTTTAAAGTATGGATAGCACAAGTTGTAAATATCATTTTGTTTTCAACGATGTGATGTCAACCTTTGATATCATTCAAAAAATAAAATTGTATGATTTTTTTTTTAAATTTTTTCAAAAATTTTGACGAATGTATTATGTCTATTGAGTTCAAAACTGTAAAAAAATAATACAAAAATATATAAAAAAAGCTTATATTCCAAGGATTAGTGCTGGGAATTGTTTCAAAATTTAATATGTATGTGGGTGGGTGGGTGGGTGGGTGGGTGGCTGTCCAGGTACCACACACTAATTTCAACGTAGATAATACTACCCTTATATCATTCAGGGGTATTCATATCCGCTGTGCTTATTTTTAGCAAATTGATTTCTTTTCGATTTTGAGTCGAATAACTGTCAAATATTCTATTCTGTTAAATATTTTATATAAAATTACGATGAATGACAATGAACTATTTGCTGAGATTTATTAACTTTTGTAATGTTTCCTGTCAAATTATTGATTGCAACAATTTGTGCATTTTTATGTATTTTCAAAGCTGTAGATTTTCATCGGGATGTAAAAGAAAAAAATTGTGGGTTTATTTTGAGAAAATTGACTTGGCATTTAATGATTGGCAACTCTGCTGTTAAATATTTTTATTTTATCTGCCAGATCATTTCACGGTTTGATAATTTCATCGGAGGTCATAGTGACTTTTGTTTAAATAATCCCAGTGAGAGGCTTAGAAGAGCAAAAATGTTTCTGGTCAATCTGTTTTCCAGATTCTTTGTGCCTGCTTGAACGTTTGGCCTTTAAATATAGTGTTTTATTTAATTTTTTTTAACAAATTGTTGCGAAAACCTTCAAATTATTAAAAATCAAAACAGCAAACATAAATTGTTTCAAGATACATATCTACACCATGCATAGCATGTACAGAAACAATATTTAAATTGTAACACAAATCAGAAATGAAACAATTATGTGACCTGTGAACTTGATGTCATCTAAATACATTTTCATATGTTCTGTAAAAATTTGCATATGTGGCCTG